TTTTCCCAAGAACGTCATTGTGTGGTGTTTGGACAGCAACATATTAGGAGCAAACTGGTCGGGATTTCATTGTCGTTTTAAATGGGCCTCTTGGGAGCACTGGGGTCTCCTGAAACAGTTGTAGAGCTTGGCAGAATATGAAAAAGTAACACTGCTGTTGTTTACACAGATAACCCCGGAGGGGAGCCTTTTCCAGGCTTTCTCGAAGCTGGTTTGGGTCCTCCAGTCATTTGTCAAATGCCTTTGGGTATCAGAGGATGGCTCCTCATCCAAGACTGAGATTTTAGGTTTACCTCAAGGCCAGGCTATTCAAGACATTGGCAGACGAGGCCAGTGCCACTGGGGAGCGAGTCTTGCACTAACTTATTTTCCTGTCTGTCTGGGAATCTGGGGTCAGAGGGAAGAGACTGCTTTGGATCCAGGAAGCACCTTCCGGTTTTCAGGCTGACCCAGGCCAGAATTTGCCAGCCTACAGTCTTAAGCATTTTCCATTTCTCCGAGTTGCTAGCATTTGCCAGAATCTTGCCAGAATTTTGTGTTAATTTCAAGAAGAGATAGTTCATATATCTCTTCTTGTAAATAAGTAAAGAGAATAACTCTTTTACTTCTAGACTTTTCTATCACTTGTTTACTTCAGCCTGCTTGGTTGTTTAATGCTCAGTGAAGAACACCCTGCTCCCCCTTCCCCAATCCCCCAACACACTTTGAGCACAGTTCCAGAAGGCCAGAGAAGTCATGTAGCTCAGGGGCTCCCTCTACTGGTAGCTAACCTCTGACTTGCTTAATTCTTTTTTGTTTGTTTTGGTTTTGGTTTTTAAATACACCTTTTCATATAATTTTTTTAATTTCAATTTTATATTATTTGTTCACTTTGTGTCCCAGCTGTAGCTCCCTCTCTCATTTGCTCCCAATCCCACCCTCCCTCCCTCATCTCCTCCCATGCCCCTCTCCAAGTCTACTGTTGGGGGAGGTCCTCCTCCCCTTCCATCTGACCCTAGCCTATCAGGTCTCATCAGGACGGGCTGCATTGTCTTCCTCTGTGGCCTAGTAAAGCTGCTCCCCCATCAGGGGGTGGTGATCAAAGAACCAGCCACTGAGTTCATGTCAGAGACAGTCCCTGTTTCCCTAACTAGGATACCCACATGGATACTGAGCTGCCATGGCTACATCTGTGCAGGGGTTCTAGGTTATCTCCATGCATGGTCCTGGGTTGGAGAATCAGTCTAAGAAAACACCCCAGATTTTTGGTTCTGTTGCTCTCCTTGTAGAGCTTCTAGGTCTAGACCCCTCTAGGTCTTTCTAACTCCCTCTTCTTTCATAAGATTCCATGTACTCTGCCCAAAGTTTGGCTATGAGTCTCAGCATCTGCTTTGATACCCTATTGGGTAGAGTGTTTCAGAGGCCCTCTGTGGTAGGCTCCTGTCCTGTTTCTTGTTTTCTCCTTCTTCCAATGTCCATCCCATTTGCCTTTCTGAGTGAGGATTGATTATCTTACCAAGGGCCCTCCTTCTTGCTTAGCTTCTTTAGGTGTACAGATTTTAGTATGTTTATCCTATATCATATGTCTAATATCCACTTAAAATGAGTATATACCATCTGTGTCTTTCTGCTTCTGGATGATCTTTTCTAGATCCCACCATTTGCCTGCAAATTTCATGTTTTTTATTTTTGAGTAGTATTCCATTGTGTAAATGTACCACAATTTCTGCTTACTTCTTTTAATCTCCTTAGAACAAATTCAAGGTGCCTGGAGAGTGGAAAGAGATACAGTCATTGCAATAAAGGGATGAAAAGTTACATGTAGCTATTTCTGAAATTGATGCCTACTGAAAAAGGGAGATGATTCTATAGTTGTTGGAGGCCAGAGTTTAATTGCAGTCAGGAAATTAGGAAAAGCTTCCTGGAAGACTTGACACTTATCTGCATCTGAGAGAAATTTGGTTTGGTGTGAGGATCGGTAGATGAATAGAACAGGACTGTCATGCCTGCTCCAGGGAGCAGCAAAGGCCAAGGCTGAGGAGCATGAAGGTGCACAACATAGTGTCTGTGCCAGTCCAGTCAGAGCGTGGGCTCTGTGAGAAGGACACATTGCCATATGATCAGGATTCTGTTGTCAGGCTTGAGTGACAGTGAGAAGATGGCTGGCTGAGGAAAGAGCGTTTGGTAGGAAAGCCACAGTGATGGCTGCTGCTCTTCTTTGTGTTGTGGGTCCAGAGTGGAAAGCCAGGGCTTCCTGCACTAGCCGCCCGCCACACAGGGTGCAGGGAGAAGCTATTCTTTTCCCGTACTCCTTTACTGTAGTTAGCAGGAGGTGCAGTGCGCATGCCTTCTCCCTGGGCTGCAGAAGGCTCGGAGTCTGCGCATGGGACTTGGGCTGTGGGCCTTCTGTGCCCACTCCCCTACTCCAAGACAGAGAAAGTGAAAGGCAGTATTTGCTCTGTGCTTAGATCAGAACTCATGCAGCTCCAACAGCACTGCTCTAGGGTCTTGTCCAATAGGAGACCCCCACCTACATGCATCGGTGTCATCCCCCTGTTCCTGTGGGGGAGGAGGCCTGCCACGAAGCCAGAATCTAAAAGAGAAGTTATTAACACGTATGCTGTCCACCCACTTGAGCCGCAGCATCCTCTCACCTGGAGTTGACAGCTAGCCCAATCTTCCCTTGCCTGCCTCCAGTCTGTTCCCAACCATCCTCCATATGTAACTTTGACCTTTGGAGTCACTCCTGCGTTGAATGGATGTCATGGCTTGTGGTAGAGAAGCAGGTCCTTTTATGGAAGTAAGCGGCCTTCTTTGTCTACTGATTAACTAGAATAAGCTCTGTGCTCTTTTAGACAGTCAGGACTGTGGAACTGTGCCTTGTGCATTTGAGATTTCAAGCAAAGGACAGCTTTTGCCCAGGAGCGCTGGTGCTGAAATCATGCTGGCTGTGACGGGCTCCCTCCCTCGCTATGTGCAAGGTCTGTGTCTCTCTTTCGGTTTAAGGTTGCAGGAGTTCTCAGTTAAAACGTCACTATTAACAGCGTGTAGGAGATGTGTGGGTTCTCTTCTATGTTTTCCTCATTTGGGAGCTTTGAGCCTTAAGATTACATGCAATGTTACCTCAAATATTAAAACAGTGCAGCTACTTTTGTATTTTAGTTGACTTATTCTTTGGGTGTTTAACGTGTTTATTTTCATGTTAAGCAGTTTGGCAAACCTAGGTTTTGAGATTAGTAGACCTGCAATTTGTTATAAGCTTTATGTCACCAGCAGTATAAGCACCAGCATAATATTGAAATTTTGTTTCTCTGATTGTTGGTGAAGATTCTGAGTCTCTTATTCCTAGTGTTGCTGCTGGAGTCAGGCGTCGCTCTCCCTCTGCACATGCCATTCCTCAGACACTGGTGGTTGCTGGCGATCACTTTGCTTTGTATCTAGCACTGTTGGTGACATTTCAGGGATTCATCACTGATATAACTGAAACTCACTCTGCTTTGATCGTCGCTGCATACGTTTGTTTTTTCTCCAGTGTCTATTATAGAGCCTGTGGCATAGATACTTTCTCACTTCCCTCCAGCTCCACTTGGCCCCACCCTTCCCATGACTGCTGAGGTGAGTGGCCTCCATGGGCAGCAGTAAATGCTCTAGCATTGAACTAAGAGCTTGTTCACAGAGGAACCCTTCTCATTCTTCTGAGAGCAGGTTTTATATAGCTAATATTAATTCAGCATCTTCCATGTACCTAGAAGGACTGCAAACAGAACTAGAGAAGAGGTGATCCTCGCCCTTGCAGAGAATGGACAGAAACCTATGGTCACCCTGTGTCCAGATGTGCCTTGTCGTGTGTATACCAGGACGGTGGCAGTGTGTGTTTACCAGGAAGGTGGCAGTGCAGTGCTGGGGTGTGGCTCTTCCTCCTACACATTCCCCTGTTCTCTGATCACAGCATCATCTAGTAAACGAGGAAGTAACCAGAGTTAGTAATTGTAACCGTGGGCTCTCTAGAGACGGGAAGGTTGGACTACTCTGTTGTAGTCAGGCCTTTATCTGATTTTGAGTTTGAAAATCAAAGTCACTGAACCTGGGACTGGCAAGTACAAATTTCCTGTTAATTATTACAAAATATGCATCTGGCTCATTCTGAGGGCAGGGGGCAGGGATGGGGTCAGCACCCAGGAATGGGTCTTGGCATGCATGGCACTCACTCATTGGCACCAGCCTTGCCTGCCTTCTGCTGTGCAGTCAGTCCTTCATCTCCTTGCTCTAGACCCCAGTGGGATTTTCCTACTATCATGAAATGGTACTCATACTCACAAGCCTCTGCTACATGTCTTACATGGCTCTGGTTACTTACAGGTGTCTAAGAAAGAGACAGTTGCCTTGCTCACTGAAGGGGGTACTTATACTGGAGTCAAGAGAGTGGGATGGGGGGGAAGGAAGTCTGAGGCCAGAAGGATTAAATAACTCTGCCCATATATGTCAGCACATTGCTCTTCTATACTGTAGAAACCTGTTCTCTGTATCACCCCACAAAGGGGTCTTGCTATAAGATCTTTTTTCCTTGCCCCACTCCTGCCCCCCAGTTCTAGCCCTGAGAATAGATGAGTTGATGGTGGGAGACAGGCCATCTGTTATCCAAGTGAGTGCTAGAAGTTTTGTCTCCATGCAGCCTCAGGCTTCCACAGGTAGTGTGGATTCATTTGCTGAGACTGAGGAAAGAGCTGCTACCCAAGGGTCTCTTGTGAGGTTGCCTTTGAGATGTGGTGACAGGAAGTGTCCTATGTGACTGGAATCAGAGTGTGATTGGCATTGACTGCAGTCAGGTCAGAGGGCTCCTCTCTTTCCCCGTTGCTTTCTGGTCCTTGGGAGAATTAATCACTCATGTCCCTGAAGTAGACACCGGAGGACAGCATGTCCTAGTGTGACAGGCCAGGCACAGCTCTTGGGGCCTGAGCATCAGTGAAAGAAGTGCTGACAGAAAAGGCTGCAAATAAATGTGCCTTCTTTTTGTGTTTCAGACGGCCTGCTAGAGGATACTGACCCCAAAGACTCCTGTCTCATTCCGAGAAACATCATGGCTGAGCCAGACTATATAAATGATGACAATCCTGAACTAATTAGGCCCCAGAAGCTAATCAATCCTGTCAAAATATCCCGAAACCATCAAGACCTCCACAGAGAGCTTCTTATGAATCAAAAAAGGTATGCATTTTTTTGAGCATCATTTTCCTTCAGGAATTTTTAAGGTAACCAGGTTTTATTTTGAGTTTACGAAGGCTTCAAGGGATTTTGCTTGTCTGCCATATTGAAGGCATACCGTTAACAAGCATTCTGGAGCCAGGCTGTCGCTCCATGAGGCTCTTACGGGTGTGGCTGACACGGGCAGGCCTTCACACTATCCCTTTTCAAATGCACACAGCTTTTAAGGAGCACTTCTATTTATTTTGCTTGTGTTTGTGCTCATGCATGTGGAGGACAATGTGGAGAAATCAGTTCTCTCCTTCCACCAAGTGGGTTCTGGGAATTGAACTCGGGTCATAGAGCTTGGCAGCCAGTGCCTGCACTTGCTGAGCCCACTCATGCATATTTTACTACTTGGGTGGAAGAGTCTTGAGTTGAAGGTAGAAGAGCGTGTCCTAAGCAGAAGAGAAATACTAGTTGTTAATTTTAAATCTCTGACATTTGGGCAAGTGTAGGAATCCACTTTTAAGTCCTACTTGTGCTAGTGTTTCCTAGTTGCAGAGGGAAGTTTCTAGAACCTTATTAGACTTAACAGACAATACTATTCTTCCTGTGTCTTTCTTGGTTTCTTTATATAGTGTTTTAAATTTTATCATCTTTCTGTTGAATTTTTAGAGGGATGCAAAATATTCTGTCTTCTCTTGCAGTCTGTTTGCTACTCCCACCTCTGTCATGAGTTTCTCTGGAGTCTGGGGCTGGGCCCGCTGCTGTTTGCTTGCTTATTCATTGTGTTTTATGTGTAGTGTGTGTGAAGGCATGTGGAAAGATGAGGTTGTCTTTTCTCAGGTTTTTCCACCTTATTTTGTTTTAGACAGGTGTTTCACTGAATCTGGAGCTTTCTGGTTGGCGAGACTGGCTGGCCAGCAAGCTCCCAGGATCCCTCTGTCTCCACCTGCCAGTATTGGGTTACAGAAGTTTGCTACTGTGACCAGGATTTTGGGGATGGAGTTCAAGAGAGGGTTTCTCTTTATAGCCCTGCTTGTCCTGGAACTCTCTGTGGATAAGGCTCTATAAGGCTCAAACTTATAGAGATCTGCTGGCCTCTGCTTTTCTTTTCTTTTTTTCCTATCTATCTATCTATCTATCTATCTATCTATCTATCTATCTATCTATCTATCTATCTATCTATCTATCACTTTACAGGCTGATTCTAGACCCCCCCCCCTCTCCTCCCAGTCCCACCTTCATGTCCTCCTCACCCCCATTCTTCCTTCTTCTTCTTCTCTGAAAAGGGGAGGCCCCCAAGAGGTACCAACCCACTCTGGCACCTCAAGTCAGAGCAGGACTAAGCGCTGCCTCTCTCACTGAAGCCAGACAAGGCAATCCCCAGCTATGGGAAAGGGACCCAGAGGCAGGCAACAGAGACAGAGACAGGTCCCATTGTTAGGGGACCCACATGATGACCAAGCTGCACATCTGCTACATTTGTGTAGGGGGCCTAGGTCCATCCTGTGCATGGTCTCTGTCTGCCCCCATTGGCCCAGGTTGATTTACTCTGTAGGTCTTCGTGTGGTGTCCTTGACCACTCTGGCTCCCTCAATCCTTCTTCACACTCTCCCACAAAAGTCCCCAAGGTCGGCCTATTGTTTGTCTGTGGGTCTGGCATTTGTTTCCATCAGCTGCTGGATAAAGCCTCTCAAAAGACCGTTATTATGCTAAGCTCCTGTCTGTAAGCATAGCAGAGTATCATTAATAGTGTCAGGGGTTGTCTGTCTCTTCCACAGGGTGGGTCTCAAGTTGGGCCAGTCATTAGTTGGCCATTTCCTCAATCTCTATTCTATCTTTATCCCTGCACTTCTGGTAGGTGAGACGAAGCTTGGATATCAAAGGTTTTATGGGTGGATTGATGTCCCCTCCCTTCACTGGAAGTCCCACCTGGCTACAGGAGGTGGCAACTTCTGGCTCTATATCTCCTGCTGCTAGGAGTCTCAGCTAGGGTAATCCCCATAGACTCCCAGGAGCCTCCATACGAGAAGCATACAGAACACCAATTAGATTGGAGCAGAAAAGAAAATCCTCCCGCCACATCATAATGGAAACACTAAATCTATAGAAAAGGAAGGAATGTTAAAAGCTGCAAGGGAAAAAGGCATAAAAAGGCAGACCTATCAGAATTATACCTAACTTCTCAACAGAGACTCTAAAAGCCAGAAGAGCCTGGACAAATGGTTTGCAGCCTCTAAGAGACCACAGATGCCAACCTGCTTCTGCTTTTCAAGTGCTGCGATTAAAGGCATGTGTCACTGCAGCAGCTGCCCAGCAGCATCTTCTATCTATCTATCTATCTATCTATCTATCTATCTATCTATCTATCT